ATAGATTGGTTTTTCACAGGAGAAGATACATCATCGATTAAACCAGCCAGAGATTCCGTGGACCCCTCAAACGGTTGTGCTGGTCAGAACCATAGATTTTGTTCTTAGTGGCACCTAGTTATCTAGAGCAGGCCATGTTGTCATCAGTGTTCAACAATAGATAATACCAACTCCATTCCCTCAGGTATGACTTGGAGAAGTTGGAGTGTTTTATGCTAGGTTCAACACTTTTCCTTCTCAGGGAGCATTTTGATTCTTTGTTCTCTCTTTGCTCTGTATTGGGCTATGAACAAGAGCTATGATGAGTGCCATGCTCCTTTGTTCCCTGCTGATGGATCCTGTCAAAGGCCCAAGCCAATCTCTCAGGCAGCACTAGGAAAAGTTCCAATATTGGATGTGTAATCAAAACCTTTTCCTCCTTAGAGAGAAACCTGGAGTTGAGGTTTTTATCTGTTACATGGTGCCATGCAAGGGAAGGGGACCACATAGGGTGTCTCCAGTCTCTCTACTACTTTTGATGTGGTTGATTTTGCTTTCACCTGGACGCAGGGAAATTCTGACTAGTTTGTGGATTTCTCACAAATGGCATCAATTTAGTTACCTCTAGTGAAACAGTTTGTGTATCACGGAAAGGAGAGTCCAAGGTTTTATATTTCATCATATTCCTCCTTGTTGTAAATTTTCCTAAGTTTATTTTCTAACCCATGTAATGTGCATTGGAATTCTCCAATAACCATTTTTTTTGGAAAACTATGTTGTTGTTTCAACATGCTTTTTTTCTGATAAGTTATTGTTCATGTTACATAATTCCTTTGTATTCACACATGTGCTGTCCTTGAATAGTCAATGGAGAGCCAGATTGTTCACTATTTTCCAGTACAAATGAAGTCATCCCCCATTGGTGGTAGTGGAGGAGCAATAACAGGGCACTCCTGTTTTTCTTAATCACTGGTAGTATCAAAGGGGCCTAGAGGAAAACCAGGCATTCTTCCCATTTCAGATTGAGAAATCTGCATGTCTACTCTAACCTGCATATAATTAGATAGGACAACCCCTTCCTCTGTGAGAGTAGAATCTGAGAAAAACAAAATAAAATTTAAGATTTAAATAATCTCAGGAGTCTAATTGTATAATACCTACATATCCAAATTTTAATTAAAAAAATCTATGACCAACAACCAAAATAGTCAAACTAAGCAATATTTCAAGTAATTACCAATATAAGAAAATGACATATCAATAGAATTTCAAAATATACCCAAAGGAAAATAAAGCAGTATTATGAAGAACCATACATTCATAAATCGGACAACAGGATGAAATAG